TGAGAGGACACTGGTGTTAGGATCGCGAAGAGAGAGAGAGAGACATTAGCTGGGCCAGCGCATGGCTCACTTGGGAGAGTGCAGTGCTGATAACACGAAGGCCATGGGTTCGGATCCCTATATAGGGATGGCCAGTTAGCTCACTTGGGAGAGTGTGGTGGATAACACGAAGGCCATGGGTTCGGATCCCTATATAGGGATGGCCAGTTAGCTCACTTGGGAGAGTGTGGTGCTTACAACACCAAGTCAAGGGTTAAGATCCCCTTACCAGTCATCATTTTTTAAAAATGTATATATATAGGCATTAGAGCTGGGCAGACCTGGGTTTGAATACTTCATTCCACCACAGACTTTAGTTTTCTCCTCAGTAAAATATAGGTAGTAATACCTACCACATAGAATTTTGCCGAGAATTAAAGTGAGGTAACAACTATAGATAAAGCACCTAACATAGAGCCTGGAACTAGCAAGTGGCAAATAGTAACTATTGTTAGTGTTTAGTACTTAGCATATAGTAGGTGCTCAATGAATATTTGCTGAACGAATGACCAAGTCAGTCACATGAAACCTACTCCACATCAGTTCTTTCACTGCCTACGGACTAGTAATGCAGGTCAACTCACCAGTTTGTTCCTCCCACATCATTGTATCCTTTCTTGGAACCTGGGCCTGTTTACTTTCCTTTCTCTCTTCAATAAGGAAAGGCCTGGTCTATTGTCAGACATTTTACTAGAGCTTTTTATTACTCTATCTTGCTGGCTGGGGAGTGGGAACTATAGTTTCCACTCTGACTGAGATAATGGAAACCTTGAGAAACCCAACTCTCTTTTCTCCTATGCCTGGTCTCCTGGAAATAAAAGAGCAATTAAATGTTAACTCTTCAATAACTTTATAGATCCCACACAGAGTTCATCAGAAATAAATTAAAAATCTTGTTGGGTCCAGGGCTTTGGGATGCTACATTTAAAAAAAGACTACATTGGACCAAGGAGACTAGATGAGTATTATTTGTTGTAAATTAGTCGGTGTATTTCAGGAAGGATTTTCCTCAGCAGAAATGAGTTCATAAATGAGTTATGGAGAGAAGGAGGTAATAATATCTGTTCTCTTTTTAGTCCATTATTCAACCAATTGTTGATTTTCTCATGGTTGATTCTGATAGACATTAGAAAGAAAGTCAAGGAAGAATGTCCATAGCATGTCTTCGAAGGATGGTAGATGAAAGATGGGATTGGACAGATTGTTGTTTAGGATTATGTGAAATACTTGTTAGTAGTTAGAGATAGACACTGAGTTAGGACCATAATGTTAGTACATTAGAGTACAGAGATTTTGCTCAGATTTGTTGCCCTATCTTCATCCCACCACTTTGTCTCTCCGTGCCTGTATCTCCCCAATCCTGATGGAAGTTAGTAAATGGAATTGAGATTCTGTAGTTAAATTTGTGAAGTAGCAATTGATCACCTTTTGAAAGGAGTCAAGACTAGGAGGATTTAAGAGAAGCAAGCAATGCTTTCTAGAGCATCTTCCTTACTGCCCAGGAAAAGCAGCTGCACCCAGAAGTTGTTGGAGGCAGCAAGCTGACTTGGAGGTGAATGACCCCACCACAGGGGTACCTGCCTGTCTCCTACCTTTGAATGGTCTGACCTTCCAACCAGCTTGCCTGGGGATGTGCTGCCCAGTTGGTGGCCTGACTGTTTTTCCTTGTGACCACCAGGGGATCAAGTATTTGCTGGGCTAGAAGAGCAAGCCCGCCAGGCGATGATGAAAACTGATTTTCCTGGAGACCTTGGCAGTCAGCGACAAGCTATCCAACAACTAAGAGATCAGGACTCCAGTAGCAGTGAGTTCTGCACCTTCTGGTAATGACTCAGGGCAATGGGAGAAGAATTATCAGAGTGTGTGTGCTCTGGGGATTGTGCATGGGGGTTGGGAGGAAGACATTAAAAAGGAGATATGTGGATCCTCAGTATCTCCAAAGGTGTTCTAAGGTGTGTGGGCATATGCTTGTCCAGAAAGAGAGGACAGGCTTAGCATTATTTTTTTTTTAATTCATGTACTATAGTTCTTGGCACAGTGCCATACACAGATAGGTTTGTGATGGTTGTGATAGGCAGGGATATAGGAATAATTAATTAGTGCTCAAGCAGCCTCTGAGTTAGGTCAAATGAAAAGAAAAAAAGCCCTGTCTCCTAGGATCTATTTATTCATAATTAATAAAATGTAAGGGCAGCATTAATGAATTCTTGTTTGAGGGCCCAGTTTTAATGTTACACAAGAAGATTTGCTTAATGATATAGTAACGAGACTATGCAGCATATAAAATGCTGAAGTCAAAGGCTTCCCACACCAGTGCCTTAAGTAGTGCCTTAAGTGGTGAAGAGGTGGCAAAGACAGTGGCTGTTACAGGTTGAATCTCATGGATTGTCTATTCCATGACCTGTCTGAACAAACACATTTTGGATGTGTTATTTCCTAGGAAGATTTGCACACTTTCTTGATCTCACCCACTTGATATTGGTTATCATTAGTGTCAATTCACAGTAGTGACATTTCTGATTTTTCTCCACATTTGAGGCATGGGAGAGAACGGAGTGCGTGAGTTCTGTAACCTTCTAGAAACTTGTTTCCACCCAAACTAATTAATTAGTTTCCATCCAAACTAATAATTAACCAACAATGGAAACAAAAAATAATTTAGCAACTAATTGCTCAGGTACAGAAAAATTAACCCCCAACTTTCCAGAAAACCTATGGGAGCCACCAGTTTCTTGAGTACGGGTAGGAATAGGAACATCTACAAATGTCTAATAGGTTTCCATTCAGGAAAAGATGCAACATCCCTGTAGACAGCACACCTTTTTTTTTTTTTTAATATTTCTAGTAAAGAGATATATTTGGATTATTGATAGATCACAAAAATGTATATGGTACAACATTGTCTTAGACCACATTTACAGGTATTCCAAATAAGAACGTGGTGAGAAAACATGGTATGATCTAATCTGTGCCACTTCTTTGTTATTGAGATGGATTCAAACAAAGGAAACTTTGGGCTGGGGAGTAAGGCATACATACCATAGATCTTTCCAGGACCCAAATCCAGTCCACCAATTGACTGGAGTATCTAATACAGATATATGTAACTACTAGCAGATGACCTGGTTAGACTTTCTCATGAAGAAAGGGAATGTAACCAGTTTTGCTGAGTAAGAAAGGAAATGTAACAACTGGTGTTGCCCAGATACTGGTAGATTAAGAAGTTATGCAAGGGATAGTACAGAGAAGATAAGCAGTACTGTTAGGTAGGAAACTGAGTCTCACTGCAGATGCAGAGAGCCTGGGAGACTCTACCCTGTTTTTCTCTCTTGCTTACATCAGGCCCAGGAGTCCAGGATCTAGGTGGGGTTAGAATAGGGCTGGAGTCTGACAGCTTCCCTAGGCTTGACTTCCTCTTGTGATCTTCAAGGTACTAGCACTTTTTGTTCCTTTCAGAAAGAACTCCCTTTGTTAAGGGAGAGGAGAGAGGGTTAAACCTTTTTTTTTTCTATTTTATAAGTAATAGAGAAAAAAAATCATCAGTCTTTCAAATTCCCTAGCCATAGGCTGACCTCCCCAGAGCCACATCCTGCCTCCCAAATGAAAACAAACAATTCACACTTTAGTCACAAGAAATTATATTTCATCCTAAAGCAATGAATGGCCCATTCCTTCCACTTAATGTATTCAGTTGTCCATCAGATAATCCAAAGAAGCAACAGAAACAATGGAACTTATTTAGCTTAGAATGCTGCATTAGTAGTAGAGTAAGAAGAGAGTGAATTAGATACCACTACAAACTACCTGAGGCTTGGTTGCTGTGCTAATTTCTCCACTATCGTGAACCACCCTTTCCCTATAAAGTGTTATCATTTTTAACTAATTTACTACTGCCTCCTTTACTGATAAGAGGGAAGAAAAACTCTGGTGTTTTGTAAGTGCACTTGGGTTTGTTGGGAGTGAATAGATTAGTGGGGCTCAGAACAGAATGGAGAAATTGTGCAGAGGAGTTATGGAAAGAAGGAGGTAATAATATCAGTGAGAAATGTAAATCAGAGGTGGTGTGTTGTGGGAAAGAGTTCGGTGTGAAGTGTGATTTGAAGAGTGAGATATTTCAGAACTGTTTAAGAGGGATTATTTTTTTGATAAGGTAGAGGGCACAATAACCATTTTCCAGTGCAGTTTTGCCTTAGATTTTCTCTTAAGTGTGTACATGGCATGATAAATAACATCAATAGCTGGTTTCCATTTAACACGATTTGTACCCAAATGAGCACTGATACAAACTATACTATGGAAGATCAGAAAATGTTTTCCATTATAGCTGCAGACACTAGGGTGGATAGCAGCTCAGGATGTATTCATACAAAAATCAGAACAAGTGACCAGTTTGTGTGTTCCAGGTGACAGTGAGGGTGATGAAGAGGAGACCACACAAGATGAAGTCTCTTCCCACACATCAGAGGAAGATGGAGGGGTGGTCAAAGTGGAAAAAGAGTTAGAAAATGCAGAGCAGCCTGTTGGTGGGAACGAAGTGGTAGAGCATGAGGCAAGTGACAAATGGCTCCTGGTCTGGGAACACCATGCCCTTCCACTCTGCCCTAATGCTTCTCACCCATATGTAACAGTCTTGCCTCTGACAGTCTTCTGGGCCTTCACATGAAGCCTCTTCCTTCATAGTTTTGGAACCCACACCTCAGACACACAGTCCTCATCACACCCAGCTTTCCTTTTCCACCCACATATTACTGCAACCATGGACAGCTCTCCTTCCTAAAGTGCCCCACTTCTTTCCAGACAGAATAGCCACCTTTGCAAAATAAGAAGCTTACTTCCTGAGGTGTACTCTTGAACATGCATGCAAATTTCAGTCGAAGTGTTACCTGAGGTGTCACTTTCTCACTAAATTGTTTCCTGAGGATTCCTGCTAGGATCGTGGCAGGAGAGAAGCTAATCCTTTCTCTGCAGAGTTTACCTTAGGGGGAAAAAAAATAGATAGCTCTCTCTGGGGCAAACCTGCATCCTCATGGCAGGAAGCCTTGGAGAAAATGAAGATGGAAGCAAATTTAATTCCCCTTCAGTGATTACCTTTTCCTTTGCCCACAACAGGAAGCTAAGAGTAACGTTGATATCAGATTGTGCTCCTTTTAACATGATTCCTTGTTACAAGAGGTGAGGGCAGGGAAAAGACTACTGTAGAGACTTAATGAGTTGCCTATTTGTTGAATTGCAGGTCACAGAGAATTTGAATTCTGACCCTTTGCTTGAACTCTGCCAGTGTCCCCTCTGCCAGCTAGACTGTGGAAGTCGGGAGCAGCTGATCGCTCACGTATACCAGGTATGGCGCAGGGAGCTGTGTGCTCTGGAACAGGAACACTGGCAGCTAGTTTGTAGCCCAGATCCTGCTTTGGCCTTTGTCTCTGGCTCCTGAAGGAATCTTGGGTTGTTGCTTCCATTAAGACTCTGATCCAATCCTCAGAGCATTTTAGAGAATAAGGGGGATATGTTGGGTAAATACGTTCTTGTTCTTAGGCAAAAACACTGTGAAAATTAAGTATCATATTTTTTTCTATTATTTAATGCATATTTTAAATAGTGAAAGAGAAACTAGCATCTATTAATAACGAGGGTGGGCTAGCCCGTTAGCTCCATTGGTTAGAGCGTGGCACTGATAACACCAAGGTCCAGGGTTCAATCCCTGTACTGGCCAACTGCAAAAAAAAAAAAAAGACAGCTTTGTTCTAAAGAAAAAAATTAGTTAACATAAATGTTTCTTAAATACCAGTGAAAGTTAGTGTAAATGAGGGGATCATAATAACATACTTCTGTGTTCTTTTTATTCTGATTCAATGGCAGGGCAATAAATTGACAAGGCAGCAGCACACTTGGCAGCCTGGGTTGTACCATAAAGATAGTTCATGAGGGGTATTTCTTTGGAAGACTGTCTTAAAAAGATGGAGAAAGGGTAGGACATAAATACCGTTGCATAGCAGTATTCCCAGCCAGCCTCTAGATTTGGCTTTCATGGCTCCCTTAACATGCACTTGTACCTACACAATGTGAGCCAGGGAGACGGGAAGCATGATCCCAAGCATGAACTCCTCTCAGACTCTGGAGAGGGCTCTGGCACCCCACTGCTCCTCAGGCCAGCCATGTGTCCCAGAGTGTAGTCAGAACTTAAACTAATGAAATCTGAGTGATGGTCTGAATGGCCAGGCCCTCCTTCTAAAGGCCCACTAAATAGAGACTGATTTTTCCAGGGGCTAAATAGAATAGTTGCAAGTCCCTTGTTCTGAGACTAAGGAAAGAGGATATTTCGCAGGAAATAGTTTCTAAGTGGGTGCAGACTGTCCTAGAGATAGGGCAAGATTGACATATTAAGGCTCTGTTTTACAGCACACTGCAGCAGTGGTGAGCGCCAAGAGCTACATGTGTCCTGTGTGTGGCCGGGCCCTTAGCTCCCCAGGGTCCTTGGGTCGCCACCTCCTAATCCATTCGGAGGACCAGCGGTCTAACTGTGCTGTGTGTGGAGCCCGTTTCACCAGCCATGCCACTTTTAACAGGTTAGCCGGGCACCTAATGCTGTTGTGCTCGGAGCAAATTACTGATTGTGGGTTCTGCTTTCCGAAGTCAAAACAAAGGCTAAAGATAGGCAACACAAAGGCAACTGATTCATGACCATTGGGAAATACAAGTAATGAGGCTAGAAAATATGCCCATTCCATTAGATATCTCCAGAGGGAAATTAATTCCCATTTCTTTCCCTATCAGAGTAATATTTTCAACTAGAAAGAGATGTAGGGAAGTCCAAGAACACTTATGATAAAGCATGGAGAAAGAAGTTTCAGGGTGCTGAGAGGACACTGGTGTTAGGATATAGTATCCACTAGTGTCCTAGGAAGACTGAAACTATGTGAACATTGTGTCTTTGTCCCATTTGCGTAGTATACAATGCAGAGTCTGCCTTTGCATAGCAAGTACTGCCAGGGGAGAAGCAGGTGAGTCAGTGAATTGCACCATGCCAGAAGGAAGTCTTCACGACCAGGACCCTTCTTTCCCATGGTAGGACTGCCCCTACACAGCTCTTACTAAACACCATCATTCTAGCTTGAATGAAAACTTCACATTGTAAGGGTTTGTCTGATTTCTGGTGGGTTGCTGTAGCAGTTGGCTCATTCTCTAACTCCAGGTGGGCTTTAAGACTTGATAGCCACCCTAGCCCAATGGAGGAAGGGATTCCGAGATGTAGAAGCAGTCTCCCAAGCTCTCAAACTGACCCCTAGTGGTGAACCTGGGGCAACTGGCCTGGTAGGAGAGGAGTAAGTCAGGGCTGGATAGCTGAGCCTTGCTAGAAGGAAACAGTAACCAACCAAAATTTTTGCTTTCCAGTGAGAAACTTCCTGAAGTACTTAATATGGAATCCCTAGCCCCAGCCCACAGTGAGGGCCCCTCCAATGCTGAGGGGAAGGACACTGCCTTTAGTCCTCCGGTGTACCCTGCTGGAATTCTGCTTGTGTGCAACAACTGTGCTGCCTACCGTAAGCTCCTGGAAGCCCAGACCCCCAGCGTGCGCAAGTGGGCCCTCCGTCGACAGAATGAGCCTTTGGAGGTACGGCTTCAGAGGCTGGAACGAGAGCGCACAGCCAAGAAGAGCCGGCGGGACAATGAGACCCCTGAGGAACGGGAGGTGAGACGCATGAGGGACCGCGAAGCCAAGCGCCTGCAGCGCATGCAGGAGACAGACGAGCAGCGGGCGCGCCGACTGCAGCGGGATCGCGAGGCCATGAGGCTGAAGCGGGCCAATGAAACCCCAGAGAAGCGGCAGGCCCGGCTCATCCGAGAGCGAGAGGCCAAACGGCTCAAGAGGCGGCTGGAGAAAATGGACATGATGTTGCGAGCTCAGTTTGGCCAGGACCCTTCTGCCATGGCAGCCTTAGCAGCTGAAATGAACTTTTTCCAGCTACCTGTGAGTGGGGTAGAGTTGGACAGCCAACTTCTGGGCAAGATGGCCTTTGAAGAGCAGAACAGCAGCACTCTGCACTGAATCATACCCTCCTGCCTGCCCTCCTACCCACCCACCCACCCACCCAAGCCCACGGATCAGTGCTCCAGCCATCCACAAGGTCCCGTCTTTGCTGCCATAGGCAGGCCCAGGTTTGTTGCAGGTGGACCTGTGCACCCCTTGCATGTGGGAGCAGGATGATGGGGGTCGGGGGACCCAGCTCAAGGCAGCTCTGGAGATGGCAGCAGGCATTCCAGAGAACTGGACTCCCCAGCCCACTGCTGCAGGCCGTTCTTATAGGACTGTGGGGCCCCAGTGTGGCCCATGAAGTTGTGAGGGCAAATAAATTAATTTTATCTTTATTGGCGCTTTCCTGCTTTTCTCTCCATCTCATTCTAACAAAGTGATGTAGGAGAGACCTGCGTGAAAGTTTTCAGGCAGTGACTTCTGGTGGTTTGCCCTTATCTGAGGAAGGGTGCTCCTCAACTCTGGCTGTCCAGAGGTCCCTTATTTGGGCCTTTACAAGTTGATGAATAACTATGACATTGAAGAACCCATGCTGACTTTAATAGGATCCATTCCCACAACCATAATGAAGATATCAACGATTTCAAGGGCTATTTAAACCTAGCTTACCTTTTCCAAATTTTTCCTCATAACTGGCATTTTCTAAAGACTATGCAGTACTTTAAACTAGGTGCAGACTATTTTTCCCAGCAAAATTCAGTTTGTCAAACATTTAAAATTCTATCCCAGCAGCAGTCAGCTGCATCTAGGAGTATGTTCATAGAAATGGCTGCAATATTAAGGTCCATAGCATGAGGGAACTCATGTCTGAGAGGAGAGTTAATCCATCTTTTCATTTATTCCCCAGAGCCAAGGTAGGATAATAAAATCCAGTGAGGAAAATTCAGAATTAAGGTGATAGGAGAGCCCAAGTCAATAGTGGCAAAGACTAGAGCAAAATGACTACTCTGGCAGTTTGTATGGCTGCCAGACCAAGGAGGAAATAAGAGGTGAGGTCATTTCTAAAAATTTTCTGTGATGGTACAGAACAAGCACAGAACTTTCCTTAGCCTGCACCAAAGGTTGTGTACAGTTTAGGTAATTATAGATCTTAAGGTCCAGAAGGAAGTCTTCTAGTTAAATTGTAACCAGAAAAATAACTATGCCAGGAATGTGAACCTCTTCCAATATCCTAACAGGAAAACTCGGACTCCTCTCTGACCTCCATAGGTCCAGGGCTATTTAAGTGTCAACTGACCTCCACCACACTAGTGTTAATTTCTACCAGGCAGGCTGAAATATTTGTTCTGAAAAATACATTTAAAAGAAAATAAGTATTCAACTGATCCAAATGCCTTTCTCTCACAGAGCTCCATACTGAAGACCTAGTTGGGAAGCTTCAAAATGGTTGAGCACTCACTATGTGCCAAAGATTATTCTGAGCACCTTGCATGGATTATCTCAATTTTCACAACAAACTGAGTTAATACAAACTCAAGAGTTAGATGCCGGGATTCAAAACTGCCCTGCCACTTACTAGCTGTATAACTTTGGGCAAGTCTTGGTTTCCACAAAATGGAAATACTAATACTAGTAACAAATGATTGTGTGTATATATCACTTAGGATAGTTTGTGGCACATAGTAAGTGTTCAATAAATGTATCTAAGTCACTATTATATACCTGAGTATTTGACCACTTACTATTGGCAAGTTTTCTTTTTTTTTTTTTTTTAAAGATGACCGGTAAGGGGATCTTAACCCTTGGCTTGGTGTTGTCAGCACCACGCTCAGCCAGTGAGCGAACCGGCCATCCCTATATGGGATCCGAACCCGGGGCCTTGGTGTTATCAGCACCACACTCTCCCGAGTGAGCCACCGGGCCGGCCCATATTGGCAAGTTTTCTAAGTTAGAAGTGGTAGCTATGATTGGGGCTAATTTATTCCAGCAATTGTGGCAGTATTCCTGAGTAAAGAATTGGGGAAAAGGCCAGCAGTGAGGATACCTCTAGATCCTGTGATTGATTCCACTATTGTCTAAGTCTAAAGGCAGACTTCCAGGTCTCTGAAACAAACTGTGCAGACCATGCTTCAGATCTAGCTCACGCCTTCTGCCCTGTGCTCACCACACGGAGATGGGTACTGTTTGTGTTCCATTACAAGTGCTCCCACAAAGGGTTTCTCTCCCCCACCCAATGGCCACCATCTAAAGCTGGGATAGGAAGAAGGCGCAAACACCAAAAGGAAAAGCTAGTAGTTTATATAGATAGATATATAGATATATAGATATTGATATATATTGTGTTTACATAGTCCACAAGTTAAATGCAGGTATCCATAAGAAGAGCATTAACAATAAAAATACAATCTGTGTGTAGCCAAGTACAGAGACTTAAAATGGTAAAACAGCAAAAAGGATCTCACAAAAGTACAAATATACAGTACAAATTGATTTATTTAAAACAGTTACAAAAAAGCACAACAAAATAGAGATTATCCTTAGAATTATTAATGCTTTGTTAAAGATCAGGTAGGATTAGAGGGTAAGAATTGGTTTGGGTGGGGGGAGCACCTGACTAGTTCTAAGGCTTTAGATACAATGCAGTTGATTACATATTAATTCAGCCATTACATACTGGGGATAGTAGTTGGGGGATCAGTAATTTATCTACAGGGAACTCCTACACAAATCAGATCCATCCAGACCTCCCCAGTGCCGTCCTTCTTCTCTACTCCTAAGGACCCTAAAGCCACCTGGATGACAATATTCCCATCCTTCATTCTCCACCCCATTCCCTATCCTTATATTCTTCCCTCCCCTAAGGTGCTGTGCAAGCTGAGAGCAGTCTACTCTCTGCAGCTGGAACATATACTGTTTTGGCTATAGGGATCCTGTGTGACTAGGAAGTTTGTAGGGGACAGCCTTATTTCAATACTTTAAGTTAGCCATAAGTACAGTCAGTCTCTTCCCCAGCACAATCTAGATTCTCTTGAATATGAGTATCAAGCAAGTGAGGGATCCACCCTGCCTTCAGCAATACCAGCAACATACTAACCACTCACAACTCACAATTACGTGCAAACTCCCTGTCCAGGGGGTGGGTGTAAAACCACTGTGTTATCAGCTCTCTCACGCTCTCTTTCTCTCTGAAGAACCTCAGTCCCCATTACAGTCAAAGACAGAAGTGAATGCTTGCAAATTTGACAATAGGTAAAGGCACATGGGTTACTGCCACACACACTGCAGACAGAAACCCAATTTGAGGCCATCTTCACTGCAGGGCATTTGCAGTGAAATGGCTTTGGGATCACACAGACTTTGAGTTTGCAATCTACTGGGGGAGGATGTAGGCTTAATAGAACTAATAAAGAAAACTTTAGTGTGAAAAGTGCATTTATTACTACTGTTCCTGCTGGGGAGGCTCAACAGGGCAAACCACACCACCTCTCCTCCTTCCGCCCCAGGCACTGTGCATAGTCTGCAGGTAAGGAGAGCGTGCAGTCAACTCTAGCATCTTGAGGACCAGTGTCATCCTAGGCCACGACCAGGCTTCTGGTCCAAGGATGGATCCTAGAGTTGAAAAGAGCAACTGACAGTTGCAAAGACCCAGATGTTTATTTTATTATTGCATAATGTGGGAGACCTTCCCTACCCCAGGAAAGCTGGAGGGTGAAGGCTTCCCAGCAAAGGTTCCTGACCAACATCCAATCTAGTATGATTCAGTTCTTCAATTGTAGTGTACATTTCTTGCAATCTGGAAAGTACTGTAGCTTCAACATGGTTTGGTAAACATAGCCCTAGGAGGCCAAAATGTCTCCATAAAACTTGGCCTCTATCCTATTTACTTTGCTTATAGGACTGTGACTTAATCTCCCATGGCCAATTCAATTAATAAGGTTATCTTTACTCCAATGGACCCAGGTCCTTTCCTAGTCAACCCATGTTCACCCTTCATCTCCAGAGTAATCATCCAGCTCTTCAATATGCCTGCACGCTGTGGGTTTAAATCACATCACCAACCTGTGCTTCTCCCTAAATTGCCTAAGATGCCCACTGGTAAAAATAAAACTAACCCCCACTTGAGGAGCTATTTCAGACAAACTTCAAACCCTTTCCCAACCCCAGAATCCTTGTAACCGTAGCTAGATGAACCCTGCTGGGATGCTGGCATAGGCCCTAACATGGCTCCCCCTCATTTAATTTCTAAAACATGATACAAGATACCACAAAGGAAAGAAGTTAGTACAACAGAAAATACCCACTAAGAGGACTTGCTTGTTTCTCCCTCAAGACAATCAGACATTTGGAGCCAAAGGGCTCCTGACAGTCCTGGAGCCATATCCCTTTGGATTCACCAGCCCACCAGCAGCATTTCATACCATTCCTATTCAACATGACTTTGCTATAAAATAACACTGGCAGAACACAGGTAAGAATGGGCAGAATGCCTGGATTTAATCTACATGGTCAAAGACATGGAAGGATAGAGAGCTATAGAGGGCAGCAGGCAGGACAGTGAGCAGACAGCAGCAGTGGCAAAGCAGCACAGAGCAAAGCCCTTGGTGTTACAACCGACTGGGACCAAGAGTATATAAGAGTCAGTACAGATCTGCTGGGGCCCTTCCCCTTGGGAACACTAATCTTGATAAGAATGATGATCCAAGACTTAGGTTATTACCCATCCTTTACCGGTTCCCCTTCTCCCAAATTGGTATAGGCATGTCTGTACAGTGCCAGAGTTAGTAGTCCTCCTTTCTATCCCTACGATCTGGGAATGTCCTACCACTGAAAAGGGATTGGCTCTAGCTTTGTCAACTGCCTAATCCCCAAAAGCTGACGACTTCCCACTAAAATGTTTATTCTCTAAAAACTGCTCTCATGTTTCCTGCAAACTTAGGAAATTCCTATAAAGAACAATGGATACACCACAGGTTATTCTTATTTCTCATGCCTGGAAAAAAGACTGAACCAGAGGGAAAAGGCAAGGGGAATGCCACAGCTCTAAGATTTAGAGTGCAGAGCTTCTTTTCCTGGTGGACCATACTTTATGAAAGATACTTTTACAGCTCAGCAAAATCAAGTACTAATATTTTACACATGCATGGCACAATATTAGGGGAGCTGCTGGTATTGTTTCACCAGCAAGAGACAAAAGAGGAACAGCAGCAGAAAGGTTAGGGCCCAACTTGCCAAGAACCCCAAGAATTTCTTCCCAGGATTCAGCAAAAGTTACCAGCCTGGGAAATCACAACTAGCGTGAGTGGAGGGTGATTTGACTTAATCTACTTGGCCCGTATCTGGTTAGATAAAGGTTTGCTCCCACAAGGAGGAAGCTCTGTTGGTGTCCTTGGTGGAT